CAAGAAATGTGGGACTATGAGAAAAGACCAAATTTACGTTTGATAGGTGTACCTGAATGCGATGGAGAGAATGAATCCAAGCTGGAAAATACCCTTCAGGATATTATTCAGGAAAATTTTCCTAAACTAGCAAAGCAGGCCAACATTCAACCCCAGGTAATACAGAGAACACCACAGAGATATTCCTCAAGAAGAACAACCCCAAGGCACATAATCGTTAGATTCACCAGGGTTGAAACGAAGGAGAGGATACTAAGGGCAGCCAGAGAGAAAGGTCAGATTACCCACAAAGGCAAGCCTATCAGACTTACAGCAGATCTCTCGGCAGAAACTCTACAGGCCAGAAGAGAGTGGGGGCCAATATTCAACATCCTCAAAGAAGAGAACCTTCAGCCCAGAATTTCATATCCAGCCAAACTAAGCTTCACAACTGAAGGAAAAATAAAATCTTATGAACAAGCAAGAACTCAGAGATTTTATTACCACCAGGCCTGCTTTACAAGAGCTTCTGAAAGAAGCATTACACACAGAAAGAAACAACCAGTATTAGCCTTTCTAAAAATACACCAAAAAGTAAAGAGCACCAACATAAAGAAGAATTTACACCAACGAATGGATAAAACAGCCAGTCAACATCAAATGGCAGTAACCCTAAATTTAATTGACTGAATTCCCAATCAAAAGACACAGCCAAAACCCAACGGCATGTTACATCCAGACCTGTTTCACATGCAAGGATACACAAAGACTCAAAACAAAGGGATGGAGAAAGATTTACCAACCAAATGGAGAGCAAAAATAAATAATAAATAAATAAAAAGCAGGAGTTGCAATTCTTGTATCGGATAAAACAGATTTTAAAACAACAAAGATATAGTGGTAAAAGGATCAATGCAACAACAAGAGCTAACGATCCTAACACCCAGATAGGAGACTTAGATTCAATGAGACAGAAAATTAATAAGGATATCAAGGACTCGAACTCAGATCCAGAACAAGTAAACTTAATAAATATTTATAGAGCTCTCCACTTCAAATACACAAAATATACATTCTTGTCAATACCACATCACACCTACCCATTAGTTTAAATGAAACACTGATTGGCCATTATTAATACCCAATTTTTTTCAAAATAAAGCAATATTTCCATTTACTCTCCCTCTTTCTCTTCCTCTTTCTTCCTCTCCTTTACTTGTTTATTTTTTTTTTCTTTCCTTCTCTCAAAAAAAAAAGAAATCAACTTGTAAACCTCTAGATCCAGGTCGGCAATGTCTCTTTCATTGCTTGATTTCCTTTCTTCCCTTCCCTCCCTCCCTCCCTCCCTTCCTCCCCGCTTCCTCCCTTCCTTCCTTCCTTCATCCCTTCCTTCCTCCCTACCGTCCTTATTCCCTTCCTTCCTGCCTTCCTCCCCCCCCAAAAAAAAAAAAAAGTTATGAAATAGAAATTTTGGTTACATTTATATTTAAAAGACAATAAAATTAAGTCCCAATAGCATCAGGAACTTTAGCAAAATGAGATGTTCTGACAGATAATCTAAATAAGGAAAAATAATAAAGTAGCAAATGGTAGGTTTTTGAGTTTTGTTCTTTTGAGACAGGGTCTTTAGGCTGGGCACAGTGGCTCACGCCTGTAATCCAAGCATTTTGGGAGGCTTAGGCGGTTGGATCACAGGCTGAGTTCACTGGCATAATCATGTCTCACTGCAACCTCAAACTCCTGGACTCATGCGATCTTTCCATTTCAGCCTCATGAGTAGCTGGGACCACAGGTTTGTGCCACCACACTCAGCTAATTTTTGGATTTATTTATAAAGACAGATGTCTTGCTAGGTTGCTGAGGCTGGTCTCAAACTCCTGGACTCAAGGGATCCTCCCACCTTAGTCTCCCAAAGTTCTGGGATTACAGGTTGTAAGCCACTGCACCCAACCACAAAATGGGTATTGAATTCAGGACAACACTGCAAAAGAAATCTCTCTTCATTATCACTAGATAGCTGTCAGGTTTTCATAAAAAAATATATACTGGCCGGGCGCAGTGGCTCACGCCTGTAATCCCAACACTTTGGGAGGCCGAGGAGGGTGGATCACGAGGTCAACAGATCGAGACCATCCTGGTCAACATGGTGAAACCCCGCCTCTACTAAAAATACAAAAAATTAGCTGGGCATGGTGGTGCGTGCCTGTAATCCCAGCTACTCAGGAGGCTGAGGCAGGAGAATTGCCTGAACCCAGGAGGCGGAGGTTGCGGTGAGCCGAGATCACGCCATTGCACTCCACCCTGAGTAACAAGAGCGAAACTCCGTCTCAAAAAAAAAAAAATACATATATATATATATATATACCTAGAAATAAAAATGTTCTAACATCAGATTATGGTAATGGTTGTACAATGCTATAAATTTACTAAAAATCAGCCAGGCAGAGGGGTTCACACCTATAATCTTGATACCTTGGGAGGCCAAGGTGGGAGGATCACCTGAGTCAAGGAGTTCGAGGCTAGCTGGGCAACACGGCAAGAACCTATTCTCTGGGGAAAAAAACCTTAAAAATTAGCTGGGCATGATGGTGCCTGCCTATAGTCCCAGCTATTCTGGAGAATAAGGTGAGAGAATCACTCACGCCTAAGAGGTCAGGACTACAGTGAGCTGTGATCATGCCACTGCACTCCAGTCTAGGCAACAGAGCAAAAATCTATCTCAAAAAAATAAAAATAGCTGGGCACAGTGGCTCATGCCTGTAATCCTAGCACTTTGGGAGGCCAAGGCAGATGGATTGCCTGAGCTCAGAAGTTCGAGACCAGCCTGGGCAACACAGAGAAATCCCATCTCTACCAAAATACAAAAAATTAGCTGGGCATAGTGTGCCTGTAGTCTTAGCTACTCAGGAGGCTGAGGCAGGAGAACTGCTTGAACCCAGGAGGCAGACGTTACAGTGAGCCAGATGGCACCACTGTACTCCAGCCAGGGCAACAGAGTGAGACTGTCTCAAAAATAAAAAAAATAAAATAAATAAAAATAAAATTGGAAGCAATCAAACATTATGAAGATACTAGACATCAGTAGTGTTCACTATACGTTATCTGATAATTCTAGAGCTTCTAAACCTATGAGGCCACTTAGGGTCAGGGCTAGGGGACTACAGCAATGCCTTCTTTAGCTATTAACCAAGAAAAGGATAGCTTGTAGCAGGATATACAAGCAATTAGCTCACACCCTTATCAAAATGTCTCTAAAAGAGAAAGCCAGCTGGGTGTGGTGGCTCACAACAGTAATCCCAACACTCTGGGAGGCTGAGGCATGCAGAACACTTGAGGCCAGGAGTTTGAGACAAGCCTGGCCAACATGGTAAAACCCTGTGTGTACTAAAAGTACAAAAATTAGCCGGGCATGGTAGTGCACACCTGTAATCCCAGCTACTGGGAAATGTGAGTTATGAGAATCCCTTGAACCCTGGAGGCAGAGGTTGTAGTAAGCCAAGATTGTACCATTGCACTCAGCCTGGGCGACAGAGAGAGACCCTGTCTCAAACAAAAAAATAAATAAATACAAGAGAAAAAACATATGTGAAATAGAAAAGAGCAACCCAGATGAACCTATCTATCCACTGCTTTGTCTTAGAATAGTGGCATATGGCTAATATAATGGTATTACACAAATTATTTAACTGTCCGTGGCTCCTATGGGTTCAGTTACTTATCATTTACTACATTCCATACGCATTGCTAAATTCTGGGAATACATAATTCTGATGAGAGAGAGAGAGATTTTCAATATACTGTGGTAAAGTAATGATACTGTTTTTGCTGAGATCAGGTCTGTGAAAACACAGAAGAGAATCAGGTGTCACAGACAAGAGGTAGGATGGGAATGTCAGAGAAAATGTTGCTGAAGAGCTGACATCTAAAAGGAGTACAATTAGGAAAGGAAAAAAAAATGAACATTCTAAGCAAAGGGAACAAAAGCATGAGCAAAAATTTGGAACCATGAAACAATGTTAATGAGGAAAGAATTAGTGACCATTCAATATTACTTACATGATGGTTCAAGGCATGGAGGGATATAAAGTAAAAAATAAAAATAAAAATATAAAGATTTTTTTCATAAAGCTTTAATTATTTAAAGTATGTTACTTTTACCCTCAGTTGATCACCCTCAATTAAGAAAATTATTGGTCTATAAATCTCATAAATCTGGGAACACTACTCGATATGATATATAGCCTTGAAGAATTAAGCAAGTGAATCTCTGGCTGACTTATCTTGTAGAAAATGGCTTGATAATGTGACATCTCCCTATATTTTCCTGCCCTCTCCCAAAACACCTGTTTACTTTTACAATATGAAGCAGAACGCCATTAGTGACAGCAAATACTTGCTTTCATTTATCTCAGTCTTGGCATCAAATTCTGAAGTAAAGAAAATTTACCGGCAGGCGAAGTGGCTCACAGCTGTAATCCCAGCACTTCGGGAGGTTGAGGCGGGCAGGACCTGAGGTCGGGAGTTTGAGACCCGTCTGACCAACATGGAGAAACCCCGTCTCTACTAAAAATACAAAATTAGCCGGGCATGGTGATGCATGCCTGTAATCCCAGCTACTTTGGAGGCTGAGGCAGGAGAATCACTTGAACCTGGGATGTGGAGATTGCAGTGAGCCGAGATCCTGCCATTGCACTCTAGCCTGGGCAACAAGACCGAAACTCCATTTCAAATAAAAAAAGAAAGAAAAACAGAAAATGTACCTTTAAAGCAACGAAGTATGAATGTGGTGAGAGTATGGCAGATTTACAACTTAGCAATACTTCTGAGCACAATCTGAAGTTTGTCAAGTCTTTTCTCTTTTTCTAAAAACTATGCCATATTTATATTTTTCATTGCTTGAAAATATACTGCTAGTTTGTAAGGCCTGCTCTTGCCAGGTGGAAGAAAACCGTACACCAGAGAATAGAATACTCACCAATTATTTCATGTTTTTTCAATTTGGTAACCTGAACCCAACTTACCTGCTTTACATTGTATCCTGCTTTTGCACTAGTTTCAATAAACATAACATTCAGCTCTTTGGCTTTCCTCTCTCCCTCCTCAATTGACACTTGCCTGTAAAAAAAAAAACAAACTTCTTACTTTTGAGACACGACACAGTACAATAAAGATTATAAAGAAAGCTCTGAAAATAACTTTCCTTGATATAAGGACTGGTTATACAGGTCAGATTAGTTTGAAAATTCATTAATTTGCAACACACTTGAAATTTGTGTGTTTCTGTGTGTGTACACTCAACATTTTTTAAAGACTTTTTTTTGTTACTCATTTGCTTTTACTTGACAGGGATCACCCTGTAATTTTTTTACTTTTAAAAACTTAATAGCTTGAGGATTGCTTAAGCCCAGGATGTTGAGGCTGTAGTGAGCCATTATCAGGTTACCACATCACTGCACTCCAGCCTGGGCAACAGACCCTGTCTCAAAAAAAGAAAAACCTAAAAACAAGACAAAACAAAAACACCTAATAGTTTGCTTCTTTCCCTTAATATTAGACCATAGGCTCTTAGCCTTATAATTCAAATCTTTGTATAAAGTAATTTTTATAGCTAATTTTTGTCAACTTGCTCTTATAATTTATGTAACCATTCCCAAACTATTAGAATGCAATTTGTTTTGAATTTCACACTACTATAAAAATTGTTGCCCTTAACATCTCTGTGCTTAATATTTTATGCAATGCAAATCATTTCCTTAGGTTAGATTTTGTGGATTTCTTTTTTTTGAGATGGAGTTTTGCTCGTTGCCCAGGCTGGAGTGCAATGGTGCGATCTCGGCTCACTGCAACTTCCACCACCCGGGGGGGCTCAAGTAATTCTTCTGCCCCAGCCTCGTGAGTAGCTGGGCTTCCAGGAGCCCACTACCACGCCTGGCTAATTTTTGTATTTTGAGTAGAGATGGGGTTTCACCATGTTGGTCAGGCTGGTCTTGAACTCCTGACCTCAGGTGATCCACCCACCCCGGCCTCCCAAAGTGCTGGGATTATAGGCATGAGCCACTGTGCCTGGCCAATTTTGTGGATTTCTATAAGTGGAGTGAGTCAAAGACACATAAGGTAAAGCTTCTAGATACAAAATATTAGTACTTCAATATTTCTTTTACAAGGTATTTTGTGATACATTACAATTAGCACTGTGTCTCAAATTGTGAGCTCTTCAAGTGCAAGATTATCTCATTTATATTGGTATCCCTAATGCCTAAGCCGGCAGATAACAAATTCCATAAACATACAAATGTTCTAATTAGATAAATTGTCAATTGACAAACCCTGCTTCCTACAACACAGAAACCTGGGCAATGGAAGAGAATTTCCACGAGCTCCCACCTACCTGCATGTGTGCCCTTATGTTGTACCTCTAGTCCTAACACTACAGAAGAATTGTCCTTATTCTCAAAACTTACACCTATATATTAGATCCCATTCCCTTCTTGCCTACAAGAAATTATTCTAGAATTCTCCACTCCCTAAAAACAAGAACATTCTCTTACATAACACTCCAAATGTTAAGATTTTACATCTGCTTGTTTTATCTTCTCATTCTCTGTGTATATAAATTTTCTAAGACACTTTTAAAAAACCATTTGAGAGTAAACTGCCAATATGCAGACCTTTAGCACTAAATTTTTCAGCAGTGTGAATTTCCTAAAAACAAGGACATTCTCTTATACAACCACAGTACAATTATTAAGTTTGGGAATTAACATCAATATCATACCATCATTGAACCTATAGGACATTATCCCAAAGATGTCCTTTACTGCCAATTATTCCAATGTCCTCTATAGCAAATTACATACTTCTTTGAAAAGAAACTTTCTCAATTATTTGGTTTTCCTGAGGTACTCAGAACAAGGAGGGAGGGAGTGACAGAAGGAGGGAGAGGAAAGGAGGATAAATGCTCAAGTCAGTCTCTGGCATCTTCCAAAGGTGAACAATGAGTTTTCTCCCTATTATTATAACTCATAGAATTAAACAAATTTTACAGTAATTACTGATTTTCAAATTTTCCTATAGTTTAACCAATAGAGCTTCTCTGAGTTGGCTCTCCTGAATCTGATATAACCCCAGTGGTCTTCCTTGATTTGTGATACATGATGTTCTAAGCCCACTGTCTACATTTTCTGGCCCAGATGCCAAACTTATCATTTCTTCAAGTAGCCCTGGTTCCTTTGGAGAGAAATGGTATTTACATACAGTAATGTGGGCTCATTCCTCCTGGTTTAAGTCTATTCAGTAGATAGAGCTAGAAAATATTTTAAAATTTCAAATGCTAAAAAATGTAATAAGGCCAGGAGTGGTGGCTCACGCCTGTAATCCCAGCACTTTGGAAGGCTCAAGCAGGCGGATCACAAGGTCAAGAGATCGAGACCATCCTGGCCAACATGGTGAAACCCCATCTCTACTAAAAATACAAAATATTAGCCGGGTGTGGTGGCGGGTATCTGTCATCCCAGCTACTCGGGAGGCTGATGCAGGAGAATTGCTTGAAACCGGAAAACGGAAGTTACAGTGAGCTGGGATTGTACCACTGCACTCCAGCCTGGCGATGGGGAAAGACTCTGTTTCAAAAATCAAAAAAAGTGCTGGGCGCGGTGGCTCATGCCTGTAATCCCAGCACTTTGGGAGGCCGAGGGGGGTGGATCACGAGGTCAAGAGATCGAGACCATCCTGGTCAACATGGTGAAACCCCGTCTCTACTAAAAATTACAAAAAATTAGCTGGGCACGGTGGCGCGTGCCTGTAGTCCCAGCTACTCGGGAGGCTGAGGCAGGAGAATTGCCTGAACCCAGGGGGCGGAGGTTGCGGTGAGCTGAGATTGCGCCATTGCACTCCAGCCTGGGTAACAAGAGCGAAACTCCGTCTCAAAAAAAAAAAAAAATACAAAAAATTAGCTGGGCATGGTGGCGCATGCCTGTAGTCCCAGCTACTCAGGAGGCTGAGGGAGGAGAATTGCCTGAACCCAGGAGGCGGAGGTTGCGGTGAGGTGAGATCACGCCATTGCACTCCAGCCTGGGTAACGAGCGAAACTCCGTCTCAAAAATAAATAAATAAAATAAAAATTAAAAGTAATGAATTCATGCTTATATTTGTTATTTATATTTAACTTTACTAATCTTATATCTGTATTTCCATCTCCCATGTCTAAAATCTCAGTTCCCAAAGACAATTATTAAGCAAAGTATTCATTATTTTATGCAGAATACACAAAATGATTTTTAAATAAGAATACCCAAAATCATCACCAACAGTTTACTACAAACAGTAAAGATCTGGCTGGCTGTAGTGGCTCACGCTTGTAATCCCAGCACTTTAGGAGGCTGAGACAGGTGGATCATTTGCAGTAAGGAGTTCGAGACCAGCCTGGCCAACATGGTGAAACCCTATCTCCACTAAAAATATGAAAATTAGCTGGGCATGGTGGTGCATCCCTATAGACCCAGCTACTCGGGAGGTTGAAGCAGGAGAATCACTTAAACCAGGAGGTGGAGGTTGTAGTGAGCCGAGATCACGCCATTCACTCCAGCCTGGGCGACAGAGCAAGACTCAGTCACAAAAGAAAAAGTTAATTTTTTTTTTTGAGACAGGGTCTTGTTCTCTTGTACACATGAGTGCAGGGCAGGACTGTAGCTCACTATAACTTCAAACTCCTGGCCTCAAATGATCCTCCTGCTTTGGCCTCTTTTGGGAACAGAGGTATAAGCCACCATGGCCAGCCTAATTTATTTAAACTTACAATTTATCTTTCCTTTTAGGTCCTGATTTATAGTTTATTGACCGTACAGGTCCCAGTCCCTCATTTCAGCCACTCATGGGCGCACTAATCGAGACTCAAAGGTTTTCTGCTCAAAGGCATACATGCACAGGAAAGCACTTCCGCTAGGCATGCATTTACCAGCTGGTATCTCTAAAGCAGCTGTTTCCCTTCAGACTCTGCGGGCACAACCAGGACTTGAAAGATGGACATACAGCACAGTGGTGTGAGAGTTGTATCCTCTACCTCTACGATGCTCTGCCTCCAGGCCCTGCTGCAGCTTCTGGAGGTATTTGATGCTGAGCTCCACAGCAGCAGTCCAGCTGGGATGGCAGCCCAGTAGGGTCCTCATTTTGTTTTGGGTAATGTGTATATACATCTGTATCTCTCTCTTAAGTAAACTATACCATACGTTACATACTACTTCACTTTGCAATTCTCACTTAGTCATATATCCTTAAGATTCACTCCACAGTAATATATACATTCTTCATTCATTTTTATACCTGTCTAGTACTCCTTTAAAAGGATGTTTGTTTCTACTTTGGGTGAAATGGAAAAAAATAGATAAATAAAAATAAAAGGATGTTCGTAAGTTTGTCAAACCACTTCCCTTTTGTGGGCACCTGGGTTGTTTATAGTCTTTAGACATTACAAATAGTGCTAGAAATTACAAATAGTGCTATAGCAAATAGACTTGTATATATGTCACTTTTTTTTTTTTAGACGGAGTTTCGCTCTGTTGCCTAGGTTGGAGTGCAATGGTGCAATCCTGGCTCACTGCAATCTCTACCTCCGGGGTTCAAGCAATTCTCCTGCCTCAGCCTCCTGAGTATCTGGGACTACAGGCGACTGCAACCATGCCCAGCTAACTTTTGTGTTTTTAGGAGAGACGGGGTTTCACCATATTGGCCAGGTTGGTCTCAAACTCCTGACCTTGTGATCTGCCCACCTCAGCCTCCCAAAGTGCTAGGATTACAGGCACGAGCCACTGTACCCAGCCTGTCTTTTTGTATTCTTACCAATGTATCTTGAGGAGATTCCTAGAAGGGGATTTCCAGGTCAAAGGCTAAATGTCTGTCAGATATTGCCAAAAATCAACACTCTCTCCTACACAGGCAACTGCATTGCCTCAGCAATTTATGAGAGTACCCGTTTTCCTTGCAGCCTTGTTAGCAGAGGATTTCAACAAACTTGAAATTCTGGCAGCCTGAATCTGAGGCAAAAATATTTCTCAGTGTAGTTTCAATTTGTACTTCAATAAGAGCAAGATTGAGCTTCTTTTCAGATAGTTAAGAGCTAT